TTGATTAATATGCAGACTATGCAGAAATATTGCTACTATAAAAATAATAATAATGATAATAATAAAACGTCTGGTAACCAATATCCAGAATTTAAAAATATTTAAAAATGTTGTAAAAAACCAAAAAGGAAAAAGATTTGTATTTTGAGGTTTCATTCTCTTACTAAAAACTATGCGGTTTTTTTTTTTTTACACATTTTTATGTATCTCTTCTGGGTCAATACGGACCCAAACTCTGGACAGAGTTTAACCCTGAACAGGTCTATATTTTCTCTTCTTTTTTTTGTTGAAGAAAATATAGAGAGATTTTGGGAATAGTTCATGTTTTAAACTACATTTTAGTCTTGTTTTTTGTCAATGGTATTGCATGTTGATGTAGTCACAGTTTCATGTGTTTCATAATGTTAAACGCATGAAAAACAAAGTGTTTAATTAATGATGCTGGTGTTGTCTTCGTCTCATGTTACTCATGGGAAAAAATGTCATCAACAAATGTTTTCATCTTAGTTTTTGTTAACAAAATTAACACTATTAAAAAGTACTAGGTTGACTTTCAAATCAATTAAAGACGTAATCAATTAAAGACGTAATCAAACAGACGATGAACGCTATTAACAGCAATTATTATATATGATGCAATCAAACTTATAGCAAAATGTGGTAGTTCTGTAAGTTGTTTCAGGGTTGGCATAATCTAAGGTCCTCTGAGGGGTTGGCATCATCTCTTCTCAGGTGTTCTGGATCCAGTGTTCCTTTAAAGACTGTTTCCTCTCTCTGTGTTTTCTGCAGGATCCATCTGTGACACAAGTAACGCGGACTGCCCCACCTGGCCTGGAGGAGTATAACCCTTTCACAGACACAAAGCCGGTGAGACGCCCAGGACAGAGACAAACTCACTCTTATATTGAGATACTGTAAACTTATTATGTACAAAATCAGCAAGTGTACAGGTTTCCTAAGGACAATAATAATTAGAACGGCTCGAAAATACCATCCGCCAACACACTTTGAGAAAAAGAGCGAGAGGGAGGCTGGCCGTCTGTGCTTAAGAGGTGTTTTTTTACATTTTGTAACGTTTTTTTACCAGTGTTATTTTGGCACTGTTGAGATACTATTATAGTTTTTATTAATATTTTAAAGTATTTTTTATTTTTTTTATTTCTTTAAAGGAATCATATGATGCTGCTAAAAAGAACAGTATTTTGTGTATTTGGTGTAATGAAATGTGTTTATGCGGATTAAGGTTAAAAAAACACATTATTTTCCACATACTGTACATTATTGTTTCTCCTCTATGCCCCGCCTTTCTGAAACGCGGCGATTTTTACAAAGTTCATCAGTCTGAAAAAGCGAGGTGTGCTGTGATTGGCCAGCTATCCAGGATTTCTAGTCGTGTCCTCTTTTGGAAGGCCAAACAAAGTAGTTTCGCTTTCACAACAAAACACACAGCGACTCCACAACATGGCAATGAATACTACAGCGAGAATTAAAGTTACGCCTTCTTTCTTTGCGTGAATATTTGGGCGGCGTTATGCAAATCTTCCCACATTGTGACGTAGGTATGTGGGGGCGTGTTAGAACGAGCCGTTTTAGGTAGGCGTGGCAGAGTCTTAACTTTTATAAAGAATATCTCTTTGGATTTGAGACTTTAGTCTTTGCAACTTTACAGATCTTCTTTATGCACCAAGAGCTTGTAACACTCCAAAGAGAAAGGAAAAATTGAAATCGCATCATATGACCCCTTTAATTTTAATTTGTGTTTTTGATTTTATTATGATATTTAAAAAGATTTCTATATAGTATTTATTTTTTAGTTTGAGATATTTTAGTACATCTAGTAAAGTAACTGAAAATGAGAAATGTGAAAATTTTGTTTAATTTCAAGTAACAAATGTTTTATGGCTTTAGTTTTAGTTAACTGTAATAACATTGTTACATAATAAATACAAACTAAACATTTTGAATAGTGCATTATGCAACAATAAAGATTTCAAACATTATAATTTTATTATATATCTCAGAAATATATTTATATTATATTATAATGTTCATTTAAATCTCAGAAATAAACAGCTGATTTAGCTGATTTATTTTTTTTGCATGCAATCGAACAATGAGATTGCGGCTGATGTTAATTTCTGTCATCACGCTGGTAATGGAAGGTCAATTAGAGTACATTGCATTGTGGGATACAGTATTTCATACCGTGTGCTCTGTTTTATACTGCACATTTTGCCAGATGTTGTAGGTCATCCAAATGTGTGTATAAGGTGCGCTGTAAACATTCAGACTTAGTTTGAGTAGTATGTTTTTTTCTGAACAAGAGAGAAATGGAGTCAAGGAAACAAACAGCATACATACAGTACCAACAAATAACATCATTCACAGTGTGGTATAACTAGTGAAGCTGTACCAGCGTAGGGCTCGCTGCCCAGAACAGCCCACACTTACAGCACAAACCCGTCTGATTGCCAGTCAGCCGACTGAACGCTTTTATATTACAGTTTTCCCTTGCCTTAATTGTGCACATGAATTGCTTCATTTCTGAATAATCCACAACATTCAAAACACTGTCAGATACATTCAGTCAGTCTGGATTTATGAATGAAAGGAAAAGATCTTATGTTGTTGTTATTATTATGTTGCAAATAAGGTGAAAGCATGTGGTGTTTTGGACTACGGTGTCTCACATTTTATTTTGTGGCATTATAGGTCCCACCAGGCTCTGCCCCTAAATCAGTCCCGCCCACAACCAACACACAGCCGGCCATCATGAAACCCACCGAAGAACCGCCAGCTTACACTCAACCTCAGCAGACACAGGTACATGCACCTCACTTTATTCATTATTCAGTTCACTTAAAATGGAAGTATAGCAGCCAAAAAGTAGAAAAAGTTGTTCTTGTAAAAGTTGTTTAAATTGTTCTTTTGACATGGCTCTAATGCTCTCAGGGGATGAGCAGTGCTTTATAGATGGTTGCATCATGTTCCTTTCTAATGTTACAATGGTTTGGCTAGGGCTGCATGATTAAGGGAAAAATGTATTGTTAAAAAGCTTTTCTCTGCTTGTTATTAGGGCTGCATTGATTTGGTCAAGAATTTTGTGATTATATATCAGTACAGCTGTAATTGTATTATTATTATTAATAGTAATAATATTAACAACAGTAAATAATAACTATATAATAATAATAATAATTATTATTATTATTATTAAATTACATACACAAGTAATTTAATAAATAAAACCGTTATTAATATTATTACTGAATATTAAAATATTAAAATGAGAAATAATTATCTTGTAATATTTCACTGTAAAATAAAAAAAGGATTATTCAAGAAAAATAATAATGTAATCATTTATTATTGTAAAACTTTAAAATTACAATACTAATATTTACGGCATTTTTAAATATCAAACCAACAAAGTTTTATTTAGGTGAAAACCTGCAGTGATCCCTTAAAGCTTCTCTTTTGTTGACCACAGCCAGTTTTCATTACACGTTGATGAGCTGCTCATGTGTAAATGAACACAGTGCCATGTTTCACTCTGAAACACGCAGCACATATTGTTTCAAATAAATTTGCAGCCTTTGCAACTCGATAATCGCGCTAAGCCATATTACAGTTTCAGTTTTATTCCAATTAATCATGCAGCCCTAGTTGCGGAGGTGGTGGTTATATTAAAGAAGGCTACTGGGCACTCTAAATGTGTTTCCTGTTCATTTATACACACCGAGGGACGAGTCTGAATTATTTGATGTGTTAATCGACTGCATAAAGTTCCTTCAGAAGGACTTTCTGAAACCTTAAACACCCATTTGGGTCCGTGTGAAGCACAATCCCTGATGCAAACGTTGATGTCAGAGGGTATTCGGCATGGAAAATCCTCCTTGATTTCACAGAAATATCCTCAGTAGGACAACAGAAGCTTCCAGCAGGCAATAGCTGCGAGCCGGTCTGCTCACGAATGCACTTCTTAAACACCCATTTGGGTCCGTGTGAAGCACAATCCCTGATGCAAACGTTGATGTCAGAGGGTATTCGGCATGGAAAATCCTCCTTGATTTCACAGAAATATCCTCAGTAGGACAACAGAAGCTTCCAGCAGGCAAGAGCTGCGAGCCGGTCTGCTCACGAATGCGCTTATACTGTATAATTCAGCACGCCTGCGGGACAGGGCTGCCTCGCTCCAGACATATGGACACACAGGCACACTTTGGGTGTGTGTCAGATGACTCACTTGCTCGGACTCCATGCGTGACGTCAGATGCTTTGAGTTAGGACACAACAAGGTGATCCAGATCTTCAGGAGGAGGCCGAATCTAAAGCTGCTGTTGTTTAGCTCAGGGTCTGTCACTGTAGTCTTTAGTTTGTAGTAGCAGCGGAGAGGAGTTGAGCCTCAGGGTGACAACAGAAGGCTTGTTAAAGGACTTGTTGCCCACTGGCTTTATTAAGTCGTGCTTGTCACATGATGCTGCCTTCAGGGAAAGCTGGGGATTTCTGAGCCCTTAAAATGACCCAGAAACAAGGGCAGAATGCGTCAACAAATTGGTTTAGATAAGAGTGATTCTTAAAATTATAATCTGTCATAACTGGGACGCTGCTGTAATGAGTGCAGGATGCGTCGCCGCTATGAGGTCCGGTGCAGTCGGGACTTTATTTTTGGTCGAAGTGTCTTTTCAGCAGTATTCATTCATATAATTTATGCAAAAGTGCTTTAAAACTCATTTTCAAACTCTACTGTGTGTGTTTGCTAAACAGTATGGCGGGCAAACAGTGAACTCACACATCCTACACAGTATTTACACTACAACCAGTTCAGTTTATGGAAGTAAAAGCTTGGAAAGTTCTCTATCACTGTAGCGTTCATATTTATGACCAGCTAAAAGTCACGTTAATCTCACCAGCGGTTTAGTTCCTTACTTGCGATATTGTATCCGACTCTATAAAGTAATCCTTACAGGTGAGTGACGGATCAAAACTTTTAGATTTCATCACTTGGATTCAGCAATTGTGGTTTTATAGAAGAGCTTGTTTCTGACGCTGGGTGTTTTTATATCATGACTGTTGATTATATTTGGTAATATGTTTTACTGTTTACTGTGTTTTAAGATAATAGTGAATATGATTTCCACCAGGAGGGAACATTTAATTTAAAAGTCTGTGAAAGTGATCTTTGGGAAGGCACAATAAAGTGCCGCTCACTTGCAGAACGCAAGCTTCTAGAGGGCACACAAGTCTGAAGTAATGAATTTAGGTAAAGGGGTGCAGAGCCAGTGGTGGTTTTGTAGGCAAACATTAATTCCTTGAATTTTATGCGAGCAGCTACTGGTAGCCAGTGCAAATTGGTGTGTGTTTGCTAAACAGTATGGCGGGCAAACAGTGAACTCACACATCCTACACAGTATTTACACTACAACCAGTTCAGTTTATGGAAGTAAAAGCTTGGAAAGTCCTCTATCACTGTAGCGTTCATATTTATGACCAGCTAAAAGTCACGTTAATCTCACCAGCGGTTTAGTTCCTTACTTGCGATATTGTATCCGACTCTATAAAGTAATCCTTACAGGTGAGTGACGGATCAAAACTTTTAGATTTCATCACTTGGATTCAGCAATTGTGGTTTTATAGAAGAGCTTGTTTCTGACGCTGGGTGTTTTTATATCATGACTGTTGATTATATTTGGTAATATGTTTTACTGTTTACTGTGTTTTAAGATAATAGTGAATATGATGTTGTAGTGTGTTATTGTACTGAGCAGATATGCGCTAAATACCTGTATATTCATATTGAATTAATTTATTTTATATCAATATTTAATATTTTATTAAATATTAATTTAAAGAATATATATTAAAACAATGGCATGAAGCTTTTAAGTATTGCACAACTAAGTAAACATTGCATTTTCACCAACGTAATAAAAAAACGGCGGTTTTCTCTTGTTTAATCAATCAATATATTATATTATATTATATATTATATTTATTATATATATTATATTATATATGAATATAGTAAATGATATAATTCTTTATTGTATAATATAGTTCTTTATTTATTTACATTTATATTTAATCATTTAGCAGACACTTTTATCCGAAGCGACTTACAAATGAGGACAATGGAAGCAATCAAAATCAACAAAAGAGCAATGATATACAAGTGCTATAACAAGTCTCAGTTAGCTTAACGCAATACACGTAGCAAGTTTTTTTTTTTTAGCCTAACTGGATGGTGAAATTGTGATGAAACGATGGGTTTGATGGAACCACAAGCAGTTCTGCCTTGGCAAGATCTATTATATTATATTGTATTATATGATATTATGTTATATTATATTATTTAGGAATTTATATTATATACATTTTATATATAGTGTCATTTAAAAATGACTTTTTAAATATATTTTTTAATTTTAGTATTGACTTTGTACTAAAATCATCTAGTATATACTTGTGCATATGTACACTTAAGTACACTACTGTTAAAAAGTTTGAGGATGTTTTGTTTTTAAAGAAATTAATACTTTTTATTAAGCAAGGATGCATTAAATTAATTAAAAGTGACAGTAAAGACAATTGTAATGTTACAAAACATTTCTATTTCAAATAAATGCTGTACTATTGAGCTTTCTGTTTATCAAAGAATCATGAAAAATAAAATGTATCTCAGTTTCCACAAAATATGAAGCATCACAAGTTTTCAACATTGATAATAATCAGAAATGTTTCTTGAGCAGCAAATCAGCATTTTAGAATGATTTCTGAAGTATCATGTGACACTGAAGACTGGAGTAATGATGCTGAAAATTCAGCTTTGATCACAGGGATAAATTACATTTTACAATATATTCATATAGAAAACAGTTATTTTAAATTGTAATATTTCACAATATTACTGATTTACTGTGTTTTTGATCAAATAAATGCAGCCTTGGTTAGCAGAAGAGATGTCTTGAATGGTAGTATAGCTTTACATTCTCATACATAAGCCTTACATAAGCCATAATCAGTTATCATATAGGTAGTCATATTCAAATTTACAGTGTATAACGACACGCCAGATAAGATATGCGGTGAATAAACAAGACAAGACTTGCATTGTCAGTCAGACAGTTTCAGACGTGTTTGTGATTGGTTCTGACAGCTGTGTCTCCAGAAAATGCCTTTGGTGTGTTTGGATGTTGACTCTCCTAAAGTTAATTTCTGCTGTGCCTGTAAGCAGAATTACTTTGTGTTCATAACCACCTTGTGTCTGTGTGTGTAGGATCAGGTGCGAGCCCAGGCGGAGTTATTGAGGAGACAGGAGGAGCTGGAGAGAAAAGCCGCTGAGCTGGACCGCAGGGAGAGGGAGATGCAGTCTCTCAGCGCATCAGGAGGTGAGCTATTAGCCTCGCGTCAAGCCTGTCTATGCTACATCGCTTATTCTGGTCAGAAACCGCCCACACAGACAGGAAGGTACTGACATGTAAAGTCACCTACCACAGTTAAGTCTTTTACACAACAAATGGAACAGGTTAGTCTCATTTATTAAGACTTCAGCATAAAATCCCATCCACATTGTAGCTTATTCTGACCAAAATTGTGTAGAAAACTCACAAAGTGCACAGATTACATCACCATACATCATATTTGGTAAATGAAATTCAATGTGTTTCTTACTAATTTTAAGGTGCTGGTTTCAAAATAGTGCCTGTTTTGCTCAAACACATCAAACTTTAGCACAAAGTAGGATGCATTTTGTAGCATTTTTGCTTTTGATGACCATTTGTAAGATCAAAAAGTCTTGTATTCTCCCTTAATCAGCAGAAAAACACCACAAGGTCATGATTCCTGTCTGAATCGGAGCCAGATTACAACCATTTGTTCAATTCTCAGTCCATTTTCACGTGCATGACATTATTGTATGCCTAATCCTCATTTACACTTTTTCCACTACTTTGCAGATTGTAAGTTAAATCATAATTTTGAATACTTGTTTGTCAATAAAACTGAAACTTTTAACATCTGACTGCTTTTGTTTTTTGATAAGTGCATTAAAACTGATGCATACATAACTTGAAAAAACTGTATGTAATGAGAAGGTTTTATTGATAATTATGAAATCATAAATAGTGGAAAAACTGAAACTGTTGCCGTGGAATAAGAAATGGGTACTTTTGCAAATTATAAAGGAGTTTAAAAAATACGGTGATAAGCATATATATAACTCAAAATTAAGAATTGAAGAATATGTTAAATAATTTATTAATCAATAAAAGGTGTGATTTTCATTTTTTATAAAAGGCTTTAAATTCTTTTGTATAGATTACATTTAGTAGTGGACGTGATGCTTATTATGAAAAAAGGTAGACAAATTTCAAAAATTCAAGAGTTTTGAATGTTACCATATTGTTACCATGTTATTACTGCAGTTTACCCCTTTTTATTAATTAAAAAAAAATCAGAAATTCTTTGAAATTTGAAATTACACATGAACCACAAAAAAGCATGCTACATATAGACCAGGAATGGTATTATTGTATGACATTTATAAGAACACAGAATGTGAGAATTACCCATATTAACTATTTCTTTGGAATGAATTAGTGGTCGACCGATACTGATTTTTTGACAGCCGATGCCGATATCTTAGAGAGCAGGGTGGCCGATGGCCGATATATACAAGTATATTTTTTTAATTTTAATTATAAGTTTTATTTATTTTAATTAATGTTTGATCTATCTGTATTAGGCAGAACTGTTAAACGACGACAACAAACAATGAAGAGGGAGAATGTGAGCACTGTGTGCCCTGGCGCTGCCATTCTCAGCGTCGTCAAAATAAAAGTCCCGCCTCGAACACATCGGCCAGGCAGAAAAACTTATCGGCCGATGCCGATATTTGAAAAAGGGCAAATATCGGCCGATATATCGGTCGACCACTAGAATGAATGAAATTTAATTCAGTTCCTTTGAATTTATAACTCATGATTGCTCAAAGTTGGTATTTTCAGTTATGTATGAAGATCTTATATTTATTTGGATTTATATCATTACTTAAATTGTAGTGGAAGTGATGCTTCTTATAAAAAAAAAAAGTGTAGGTAAAATAAAAAAACTCTTCAGCCTACACCTTTTTTTGATTTAATATGTAAAATTATATATAAATATTATGAAATTGTGAATGAGAACTGAAATAAATTCTTCATGACAATGATGAATTGAAATTTCAGTCAGTTGTAGCCATTTCTGTGTGCAATATGCATCAGCTGATCTGTAGACATTCGTTCTATGGTTGAGACAGTATTATGCTTGTCATCTCACACAATCAACTTTAGATTTAGTGTGATTTACTGTCTCTGTGCACCAGGAGCAGAGGAAAAACAATTACTGTTCTGTTTCCCAGTCCTGTACCCCAGTTTACCACCTTTTGTCATCATGCTCCTATTGCATCATCCACCTCTTTCTTTCCACTTTTAATTGATTTTCCTGTTTGCTTCTTGTTTCTAAGGGAGGAAAAACAACTGGCCGCCTCTTCCAGAGAAGTTTCCGGTGGGTCCGTGTTTCTATCATGACATATCAGTGGACATCCCTGTGGAGTACCAGAAAACCATCAAGATCATGTACTATCTGTGGATGTGTGAGTAACTCTTGACCAATCCCATAATGCCAACAGTCCAAAAACAGTAACCAAACATACTGTCTGTGAAGGCCAGCCAATCACAACAGACTCAGAGGTCATTTACATATGCAGTAGGAGTCTTAAAGGTACAGTTACAAATACAGCCTGTTTAATTTTATACTGTAGGTCAAAGGTAGAAAATCTTCATCCTAAATGCTAAATTAGAAACCTTGAAATAATACTTTAGAAACCTTGACTAACATTGTAAATGCTCCTTTTTAAAAGAAATGCCATAAAACTGTAGAGTAAGTCAGTGTAATCCTCATATGTTCATCTTCCAGGTCTGTTTGAAGCCGAAAAATTATTGAAAAAAAGAGACTTAAAATTTTTAACCTACTGTACAGTAGATAAGTTTATAAGCTATATATGTTTAAGTTTTGAATGTTGCCATAGTATTTTTGCATTTAGACCTTTTTTTATTAATTAAAAAAATGAGAAATTTAAAATTACACACGAACCACATAAAAAGTGGTTTAACAAAACAGTATATACTTTTACAGTGTATATATATATATATATATATATA